CCCAGATTACTACTTAGACGCCGCCATTAGAACTGGCCTCTTTGACTACATCTGGATCCAGTTCTACAACAACCCTCCCTGCGAATACACAGATGATGGAGATACTCAGAAACTTATCAATTCATGGAACCAGTGCACCACATACACCGCCACCAAGTTCTATGTCGGCCTCCCTGCGTCTCCCGCTGCAAATGGTAGTGCCGGTGGTTATGTCCCGATCGATGTGCTCAACAATGAGATTCTTCCGCAGGTAGAAACCTCTCCCAAGTTTGGTGGGGTTATGTTATGGAGTAGGTACTACGATAGTCTATCGGGATACAGCGATCAGATCGTGTGTACTGCCACTGGAGCTTTTGAAGCTGTGCGTGCGCCATTGGTTGGCATGATGAAATCTGCCTCCGAGGTTCTATATCGCGTTTTATCTTAGTATTAGTGCGTGACTGCAGCCTCTCTTGCTACTATCGTGTATGGAATAAGTTGTGTGGAAGGCTAGTGCCTTCGATCCTTAAGTGACAACTTGATTCTACTCAATTTGTCATCTACAAATAAAAGTTTAATCGATCTTGTGGTTGGTATGATTTTTTTTTTTTGGCCCAAAATGTTGCTAAGATTTGACTTGAGTGCTTTATAATAAGGTATTGAAAAATAGGCCGGTCTCTGAATAGGTCGAGATAGTGGGTAAAAGGTTAGTGTGAAAGCTAGAATTAAAACAAGGTTGAAACAGTGATGAATAAAAAAATTAAAAATTAATTTAAATTCTAATCATGCCACCCAAAAGACTAAATATTAATTTAATATCTTAAATCTCTAACAAAATAATCATATACTTACATTGTCTTTCCATTTTTCCTATAATTCTCTTGATAAATTGACATCACAGTATCATATTATTAAAATCACTAAATATTCATTCGAAAAAAATATTAAGATAGATTTATGACAACAAAATACTCATATCTACAATCCTTTAGTCATTAAATAATACTCCTCTGATCCTATTTATAGGACACAGAGAGAAGATTTTTTTATCATATTTATAAGTCACTTTATTAAATTTTCAATGTAAATGTACTATTTTGTCATTTATTTATTTATTATGATGTAGGTAGTTATTTTTTTTGAAAAGTGTAATATTAAATATGAGTAAAGTTAGAAAATTGTTATATATTAATGGAGAGTTAATACATTTTAAAGTTTTTCTTAGTCTGTATAAAATATGTTAAAAATGCGTTATAAATAAGACCAAAAGAGTAATATTTTTAGCATTAAAATAACTTTAAAAAACACACACACAAATGGGTTAACCCACCAAACCGGTCAAGTTAACTCGGGTTAACTCGGTTTTTCGTGAGTTGCAACGGGTCATATCGGTCGACCCACCAACTAGTTTTTGTTACTGACTGGACCAGTTAGGTGACCGTGGGCCAATTTCCCGTCTAACCTGGCTTGTTCGGTCTGGAATAGCACCTCATCACATACTTTCACCATCATCTTCAAACCCATGTTCTTTCTTTTCTCTTCTCACACACCCAAAGTATCTTGTATATGCTTGAATGCTTTTGGTTGTCAAGACCCATCTATTACAGTATTAAGTGGTTTTCCCCCTTTCAGCGTGACTGCCTGCAAACCGATGAATATTGTTGGAGGCTAGATGAAAGCCAAAAGTCTCAGGCCTGGCTTTATTGGTGGATTGAATAGAGAGGGATGGGGAGCAGGAAGGAGAGACAATAGATGTGAGGGGAAGATGAGCATGCTGAAATGTCGGATAATAAGAGAGAGAAAGAAAATGGGTAAAGAGATGCCTCAAAAAGAGAGTTGGAAAATTCAAAAAAAAAAAAGGAGCTTTTTAAAAAGATTATATTATAAATCTGAAAATTCACACATAAGCTACTACGGAGGTTTAAATTTGTCCAAATGGAATGTTTTTATCGGTTAGTGTACAGGTGAGGCACCCAGTACCTAAGAATTCCTCAACTTAGGGCATGTTTGGGTGGTCCAAAATCATGGTTTGGGTGGGATATCACCCAAACAACATCTATTTTAGAGAAATAATTTGAAACCATGGTTTGCGCCAAAACCATAGTTTTGAAGCCCAAAATCATGGTTTCATGAGAAGTAAACCCATTCTACTTGTAGTTCAAATTGGAGAGTATGATTGTACCTGTTAGAGTAGATCTCAATAATAATATAACTTTGACATCCCTTAATTATTTTTTATAAACATATTTAATCTTATATCTTATAAATATATACACACATATTAATTATTTATTAATTATATCATCTTATGTATTATTAATTATGTTGGTAAAAAATATAATATTAACAATTTATTCTTTCAAATTAAAATATATCATAAAATCTATTTTATATAATTATTATATTAATTTATGTTTTTTAGTAATTTGTATATGTAAAAAGTACTTTTGATAATAACTATTTAAACACTCTTACTTCTCAAAATTATTTTTTCACAAAATCTATTTTTCACAAAATCTATCCTTTCTAAAATTCATTCTCCAAAAACTATTTTTCAAGTTATGGTTTAGTTTTATCCAAATATTTTTTTATTCGCGATATGCATTATCTATTTGCCACATACACGCCCAGCAGGTGCAAAACTTGTGGCCGGGGGGAATTGGAATTGGATTCTCTCCACTATTTTCCCATCCTCTTCCCCTCCACTACCCTCCTTTTCTCTTCACAACCATTGGATCAAAACTACAATGGTCCAGATTTAATATGTTATAACATTTTATAAAAATAAATATTATGATAAAAAATAGATAAATAAATTTAAACTGTTAAAATATAATATGAACAGTTTATAACTACAGCTGTTATTATAGAGCAAATTTTTTTCATTACAATTGTAAACTGTTCAGACTAGATTTTAACAGTTTAAATTTATTTATTTATTTTTTTAATAACATTATTTTTATAAGATGTTAAATTTAGACTATTGAAATTTTGATCCAATAATTGTAAAGAGAAAAAAAGATAATGAAAGAGAAAAGGATGGAAAGGTTAGTGGAGAGAATCCAGTTTGGGGAAATTGATGAACGAAGCAATATCCAAAGGATATCACTTTCGTAAACCAGCTGGCAATAAGACAAGGGCAATTATTAGAAACTATCAAAATAGTACGTTCAGAGGTACATCCAATTGTCACGTTCTCATCGCTCTTTGTTGCTCTATGGCCCTAGAATAGCATCAACAAAAAAGTTTTTCCCTGCAGTCCTTCCCACCAGCACACTATTTTCACTGTAGATCTAGATCGTTGGATTTCTAGTAAATGGAAGAGATTAATATATACTATTTGCTATACTGATTGACTAATTTGAGTATATTAAAAAAATTTGTTCAATTATTTGTAATGAATACGTATTGTTTTTCCTAAAATATCCTTACTAATTAAGTGTATTAGTTTTAATGTTTGATAAAACTTTTAACATGTGCAACTATTACAAAGATTATCTTAAAAAAATGAATAAATATGAGAGACAAACTAAAGTGGATTGAGATATTATATTTATGACCAATGCAAATTGAAAATCAAACTAGCTCTTATATTAAAGACTAAAGGTAGTATTTTATAAAAAAAAATAGTTACATTGAATTGCTAACCGCAAATTTGATGGTTGATTTACGATGAATGTGAAGTGAATGGAAATCGTAGTTGAGACAATCAGTGACAAATTAAGCTTCGTCCTTGATAACGAAGAGCTATAAATAGATCTTCTATTGCTCAAGATTTTCTTGCATAGGATTAGGATCAATCTAGCTGCTAGAAAGCATACCAGGAAATGTTGTCTCAATGGCATGGACTTTGACATTGAAGGCAGTGCAAACTAGTGAACTACCATATGTGATGTTCTCGTGAAAGAGCTTCACGCATACAGCCAAAATGGGACTGTAACTCCGGAGTGTATGGGCTTAGGAAATGGAGGCCCATTAGATATGCAGAGGCCCGAAGCATTGCGCAGAAGCATGAAGATGCGGAAGAAAACGTGGAAGTTGCGTGCGTTGGAGGGTGCAGAATAATATATGGAGGTCAGAAACGGTTAGACGTGTGTGGAATGATTTTGGGATCCTTTCTCTCTCTCACAGCTTTTTCTGTACTCTCTCCCCCCCCCCTTCTCTCTCTGTCTAAGCTTCTGCATCATCTGAGATTATATTTCCGCATATTACATGCCTTGCGTTCTCCCATGCGTATGCTCTGTAATCTCATATGAATACTTAGTAATACATTCAGAGCTGGAACTGATTATATTGTGAGTGTTGTTGAAGTACTAACGTTACAAAGACTCACCTATCAGCGGCACCACATTGTGACCACATTCTGAAACATTTATAAGCGCGCTACTAATTAGCTAGGAGGCAATAAATCGCTAGGTTATAATCTAGAAGATTCCTTCAATAGTTCACATTGTAATGCCTTTTCAAGCCTCATAAAGCTACATCATCATTACCTCAGACATGCATGAGGTTTCTATTTGCCACATCAAATATTACGCACACAAGGTGCAGACGCATGGATACCATGCAAGATCCAACCAATCGATTCTTCTTTGAAAAGCACTGCTACCTAAAAATGCAGCATAACAAGAAGCAATTATTATGGGGGAAAAAAACCAATTCACACTAATGAGAGGAACCGAATTAAACATCGCAAGCATCCAGGCATGGTCCTCTAGCCTGTTGCTGTTATGTTACCAGAGCCAATAATTAATGACTGCAAAAATTCAACTTTAACACGCGTCACATGTAAATCTTCTATCTCATGCGATACTCTCTTATGATATAGGGAATATGATCAATCTAGCCACCGCGTATCCGAAGGTTCTTTTGTCACAGCTAAAACTGAAAATTAAAACATGGAAAAGAACTTATTTGATGTTAAATGACCCGAGCCCTAGCTCTTTATAAATAGGTTGTTTCTGTTGCTTGTTCTAAACCAAAAAAAAAAAAAACATTATCTTTGCTCCAATCAGTCCGCCATGGTTTCCAATATACAAGGTTGCATTCTTCTCCTTCTGTCCTTGCTGCTGTCTCACTTCAGCTCTGCCAAGGAACTAGGAATGGTCACGTACTGGGGCCAGAATGTGCGTGAAGGAGAGTTGGATGAAGCATGTGCCACCGGGAATTACGAGATAGTAAACATAGCATTCCTCAGCATCTTTGGCAATGGACAAACTCCAGACATAAACCTGTCGGGACATTGTTCTGAATCCTGAGGTGTCCCTTGCGCTAAATATGCCTCCCAAATAGCTAACGGCCAAAGCAAAGGCGTCAAAATCCTCCTCTCTCTCGGAGGAGACTCTCGGATATATTCACTTTCTTCAGCTCAAGACGCCAAACGAGTTGCGGACTACCTCTGGACCAACTTTCTCGGTGGCCATCAGAATAATTCAGAAGGCCTGCTAGGAAACGCGATTTTACATGACATCGCCTTTGGCATCAAACAAGGGGGAACCTGTTATTATGATGATCTTGCCAAGGATATTGACTCCTACAGAATGGTAAAAGATTTTCACCTATCAGCCGCACCACAATGTGCAATCCCTGATCCATACTCGGACTCAGCCATACAAACTGCACTCTTCGACCATGTTTGAGTTCAGTTCTACAATAACCCTTCGTGCCAATATTCTCCTTGGAATACTCAGGACCTTATGCACTCGTGGAACCAGTGGATTGACTTCCCCATCTCCAAGTTATATCTTGGCCTGCCGGCGTCTCCGGCGCCAACTGGCAGGGCTGGTGGCTATATCCCAGTAGACGGACTAAACCATGAGATTCTTCCACGTATAAAAAGCTCTCCCAATTACGGGGGTGTATGCTATGGAGCAGTTACTATGATATAGATTCTGGGCATAGCGGTAAGATCAAATCTGGTACTACTCTTGGAGAGTTCAATAATGTTGCCAAGATCTAATCAGCCTCAAGAGTGCTGTGTCGCCTTTTATCGCTGTACTATAGCTAGTGTGACTGCAACTTGCCTAGCAACTATCATGTATGGAATAAGCTGTACAAGGCAAAGTGCCTTCGGTCCTTAAGTGACGACTTGATTATGCTCAAGGTTTTATTTAATTTTTTTTTTTTTGGTTTCTCTTTCATTAAACTTAGATGTCAAAACTGAAAATAAAGGGAAAAATTTTAAAAAGGTGACAATTATTTAGTATTCACATGTATCCATACATTGATTAATACAGAAAGATGAAGCCAAAAGAAGGAAGGACAAAAAGTTCCATATGCATACTCACATCACCCGTAAATTGAAGGATTAATTAATCTGCAAGTCCTTATAATTTCAACTAATTTTGAATCAGGTTCCTATAGTTTTTTCACTTTTTATCAGGTCCTTATACTTTTATCTGTTTTTAATTAGGTCCTTGCATTTATTTTTCTTTTTATCAAGTCCCCATAATTTTGCTAAATTTTCAATAAGTCCATGTAGTTTTAATTTTTATTTATTAATTAAATATACACTTAATTAAATAGATTAATACTGAAATATAAAATATTGATAATGAAATTAAATTAATAATTATATAATAAAAAATAAGTAATATAACTAATTAATTCAGGAAATTTTCTAGAACAATTAATTTTTTTTGCTGCTAAAAAATAAAATATTATAATAATTCATTATTTATATAATAAAATTATTATAATAATTCACTATTTTTATAAAATAAAAATAAAATAAAGAATAAAAAAATTCAAGGACTTAATTAAAAATAGGGTGAACTTATAAGGACTTGATAAAAAGAAAAATAGATACAAAAACCATATTAAAAACAGGTAAAAGTATAAAACCTAATTAAAAAAAAACCTATAGGTACCTAACTCAAAATTGATTGAAACTACCGGAGAATTAATTAACCCTAAATTTAATATGCAGAAGGATACTGCCAAAAAAAGGTTTCACATGCATCCTCGTTGCTGTCACTGTCACACATGAATTTCCCAACCTACAGTACATATTGATTGCCTTGCTTGCATGCCTCTATTATATTTTTAAGGGAAAATTACACTCACGTCCCACAGAATACAATTAATATCAAAAAGGTCCCACAAAATCGCGAAATGATTCTGCAGTCCCCAGGGACCTGTGTGTAATTAATTCTAATTGTGAAATTACTTACTTACCCCTGTTAATTTTATTGCAACAATTCGTTTACAATCTCAACAGTGGCTGTTAACAACCCGAGAAGACGTGATTGACAACCTCAGCAGTGCTCATGATAACTCACTTTGTGGAATACCAGGGGCGTTGTTGAGGTTGTTAACCACTTCTTCTCAGGTTGTTAACAGCACTGTTGAGGTTGTAAATAGGTTCAAATTAACAGGGGTAACTACGTAATTTCACAATTAGAATTAATTACACACATGTCCCTGGGGACTTCAGAATCATTTCGCGATTTCGAGAGACCTTTTTGATATTAATTGTGCTCTGTGGGACCTGAGTGTAATTTTCCCTATTTTTAAATGGTGTTTACACGTTAGGCAGTCATGTTACTCCTCTTAATAAATATTTTTTGAGTTAATTTTAGTTCCTAAATATAAGACATATTTTTTATATTTATTAGTTTTTCTTAAATTACTCTTATGATACTCTCTCAACCATAATCAAATAGAAGAGGAAGAGGGAATATTAATCAAGATGAATTTAGGATTATGTCATATTTCTTATAATTAACTAACTTACCTAACTTTTTTAATTTAATCAAATTGTTTTATATTAAGGATCAGAGGAATATTATATGTTATCCTATGAATGAATGTATAGATATGCAAAATTTAATTTAACAAAATGATAAGGATGATGCTTCTCTCTCACACATGCCCTTCGCAGGACCATGATAGAAATCTGAGTTTATATATTTTATAGAAATAACTATATATGACATATTTTTAAGAGATGAAAATAATAATATTAAAATGAAATAATTATATATTCTACATAAAAAATTAATTTAATGCTTCAACCTGATGAAGAAGAGAACACTATTAAAACCAAATGTTATATATATTCCGCAAAATTAAAAAATTCGGTGTAACTACCCCTTTATTAATACTCGATGCGCGAAGCAATTATTAAAAATGTGATGTGATCGAAGGAGTAGAGATAAACTTAATCAAAGAGGTATGCAATTATAACGTTTGAACTTTTAATATTCCATGATCAATAATCACATTTCTTGCATCATGAATTTAAACGTGCTATACATATAATTCCATTTCTCCACATCATCATCAGCTGGCAATCGTGTCGTTTTCTTTTGTTTTATTAGAGATATAATTCCATTCTTTCCTTTTTCCTTCCCATTCTTTTTCTCTTCTCCTTTTCTAATCATAAAATCAATATTTAAATGGTTTAGATTTTATTTCCTACAAATTAAATTTTTTTTATTTTTTTAATGCAAGTATTCATTTCAAATTTTAGTGGCATAAATTTAATTATTTATTTTTATTTTATAATTTAACATTTGGATAATAATTTGAATTATATAACACATTCACTACAAAATATGTGTACCGAATATCGATGAGTAATGTTAAATTTGGATGTAATGCTTGGCTCATCATCATTTAACAAGTGTACCGCAAAAAGTGATCATTACACACGTGATATCCCTTTTTTTGGTTTTTGAATTAGACAATTTAAACCTCTCTCCCTCCATAGGAGAGGGGATCGCACGCCCACACTTCACATACACCCATACACATCATATCTATTTTTTTTTTTATATTTTAAATGTAAGATCTTAATTTTTTCTCAAACTTATAAATTTTTCACAAACTCAAATTATTGATATATTAAAGAGAGTTTCTATTAGTAGAAGTAACGATCAGAGAGGATAATTGTTAAAAAAAAATGATAGTTAAGAAAGTCAACAAACATTTTTTCATAAATAACCAACTTACTAGATTTTTAATATATGTAAATTAGTTATTAAGTTCCTATATTAATATGTAGATCAAGGAAATTGTTTGTGTTAAACTTATTTTTGGTTCTCTTTAAAAATGTCCTTAATTAAATAGGGATATTTTTTAAAAGATCATTTCTTAAAGGTGAAAAAACTTATAAAGTAGGATTAGTTTTCTTAAAAAATATTGTAAAATATCGTAAAATTCTAAACTATATAGTATAAAAAAGAGACATAAACTTTTTTGAAAAAATGATGATGTATCTAGAAGCGTAGGAAGACCAAAGATGGCCGATCGTGGTTCCCTAGCTAGTGATTACATAGCTTGCGGGGTCCTTGAAGAAAATGGCTGCAAAATTCAACATTCATAGCACGTGCTACGTAGAAGTCTTAATATTCTTATAGTTTAATTAATGATGCTTCCTTGCTTCAACATGGGTTAAAAATAATAGGATTTGACGCTAATGACCCTAGCCCCAGCTAGCCCATTATAAATTGGTCATTTCTGTGGTTCCTGCTAAGACAAGAAAGCACATTGCCTTTGGCTTCTCTTAACCTCTACTTTCATGTCTTACAAAACACAAGCTCTGGTCCTCCTCCTTTCGCCCTTATTGCTGCTCTCTCACTTGAGCTCATCCCAAGGCTGCCCAATTGTCACCTACTGGGGACAGAATGTGAACGAAGGAGAGTTGAGCACAGCATGCGACACCGGAAAGTACGAGATCATCAACATAGCATTCATGAACACATTCGGCAATGGGCAAACTCCAAATATAGACCTCTCAGGACATTGCTCTGAGTCTTGGGGTGTCCCTTGCACTAAATATGCCTCCCAAATAGCCTATTGCCAAGGCCTAGGCATCAAAATCTTCCTTTCTCTCGGAGGAGCCTCTGGTCAATATGGCCTTTCCTCAGCCCAAGACGCCCAGGAGTTTGCACAACACCTCTGGACCTACTACCTCAGTGGCCAAAGCGCAGGTCTCCTCGGAAACGTGACCTTAGATGGCATTGATTTTGACATCGAAGCTGGTTCAAACTTGTACTGGGATGTCCTTCTTAAAGATCTTTACACTTATAAGGAAGTAAAGACCTTTTATTTATCAGCAGCACCACAATGTCCAATCCCAGATTACTACTTAGACACCGCCATCAGAACTGGCCTCTTTGACTACATCTGGGTCCAGTTCTACAACAACCCTCCCTGCGAATACACAGATGGGGATACTCAGAAACTTATAAGTTCATGGAACCAGTGGACGACCACCTTCAACGCCACCAAGTTCTATGTCGGCCTCCCGGCGTCTCCCGCTGCAAATGGTAGTGCCGGTGGTTATGTCCCGATCGATGTGCTCAACAACGAGATTCTTCCGCAGGTAGAAACCTCTCCCAAGTTTGGTGGGGTTATGTTATGGAGTAGGTACTATGATTATCTATCTGGGTACAGCGGTAAAATCAACTGTACTGCCCCTGCAGCTCTTAAGGTTGTCCGTGCGCCGTTGGTTGCCATGATGAAATCTGCGTCGGAGGTTCTGTATCGCCTTTTATCGCAGTACTAGACTGTGACTCCAACCTCTCTAGCCACTATGTCATGTATGGAATCAATTGTCCGAGGCTAGTGCCTTTCTTCCATGTTAAGTGATGAAAGCCTGATTCTAGTCAGGTTATCATCAATGAGAAATAAAAACTTTAATAATTTAGTACGTGATACTGTTCTTTTAAGGTTTTACTAGTTTTTGTTTCTTGTTCATTTTGACGATGTTTGCGGTCGTATCCGTCTGCTGCGTGCAGCTGACACAGCTAATTAACACAAATCAAATTGCACCTATAACTCAGCGACGACGTTGCTTATTTAATTAATTAGGCCCCAGCTCCTTCTAATATTCTGGTACTAATATTAAAATACAAGCCGCAAATGTCTAGCTAGCTAGCTTCGCCTTTAACATGAGACACATATAAACGTCCTTCTACCTCGCGAGATTTTCTTCTATAGGGAATAGAATCAATCATAGGTTCTTTTGTCCATAGCTAAGTTATGAGAAGTAAAATTTTAAGATAATACTCCTTTTATTTTGTGGAAAATATATCGACGTTAATGTGACCGCCTTCCAAGGCCATAGTTAATTTCTGCTTCTTCGCTTACAACTTCTTCCTATTTTCCGATTTTCTTTGGTGTGTTTTTTTTTTGGCTATGTCCATAACTTATTTATCAATAATGCAACCATGTTCATATTTGTACATTGTATTTATCTATATTTTTTCTTGATTAAAATATTTTAAATTTTGATATAGATTTGTATCTAAAAATGCGTGATGATCTATCATGCCTTGAAAGAACATATCAAAACATTTTTCTGTTTTAGTTGATTTTTTTTTTCTTTTCTTTTGGTTAATGTCCATAAATATTTTTGCCGATATATGGACAAATATGTCACATATTTGTACTTCAAGTTATTTATTTATATTTTCTCTAAGGACATGCATGTATTAAATTGTAGTTTAAATTTACCTTTAAAAGCTGCTCGATGACCATATATTTAGGAAAAGCTTAAAACCTTTTTCTCTTTTCATTGGTCTTTGACGACTTTTTAAGTCATCTCTCTCTCTCTCTCTCTCTCTCTCACACACACACACAATTTGTTCATTCAAACGCCCTGTGATAATCAATATTCCATTATCGCTTCATCAACCAGGCCTTAAAAGTACCAACAAGTGGTCGTATGCAAAAATAGTTTCAGACACTTACAATATGTGTTCCTTATATCTTTACATAGAGGCATATATATTCTAGAGGACAAGATAGATCTTTTACAATGCTTTGAGGTACAATATAACGTAGTTGTTAATTATTACTTACAATATTTTTCAGATTTATATTAAAATATCCATAAGCCAATCCGCAGTTGCCACGCATAATACTTTTTTTTATATATTCTTGTTGCTAGAGACAATAAGTAAGGATCAAGAATCAACTAAGAGATAATTACAATTAAGATATGTACAAGGCATTCGCCTGCGTTGTCACTCGTCGTATTGTGGAAAAGGGGAAAAAAAAGGAAACTTGACGTTAATAACCCTAGCCCTAGTCTATTATTTTCATATGTGAGAGTTCTCATCGTTGTACTTTAATATTATTCCAGGATGCTTCCGACAGAATGGCCAAATTTTTTGACAAGGGAAATTATTAACTAGAAACAACCAAGTCGCATTAGAGGGGAATCGAAATTTCACCCTCGCGTGGTCCCAGGATCAATGGCGACAAAGCTTCGCGTGTAACTCGAGGCGCCACGTATATAATTAATGAATTTGATATCTTTTCATATCTCTCGTACCCACTTCACACAGAAACCAATTCTTTCTAATAATCGATCCGGTATTAATATTATCTCTCATCTTAGTTATGAGATTTTATCTGTACATTTATAATTAGAACCGGTAATATATTAGATTGTGGTCAAATTGTGACAACAGAAAAAGGCCGAGCGTGTACGTCTACATCTAGCTAAACTTAAATAGATAATAGAGTAAAACTACGTTGCTTGACTATGACTAGTGGAATAAACCAATGATGACATCAATTTTTATATTTATGATTTGAGATGAGTAATTTCTATAATTTTTTTGGGACAAAAAATTGTTATTTTATTGATATGAAAAATTATTACTCACAATAGTATTAAACTGTCAATGTTGATTAACTTAATAATCGTAACATTTTTGCGCCATTTGACGTATGTCTTGACTTGGCCTCTTTAAACTCGAGCTCATCAAGGGCCAGTCCATTTGATGTATGCCTTAACCATTTTGATAATTATATTTGTCCATTTTTTTAGCTAGTACATAAGTTTCCGTCTTTCAACCACTGTTTAGGCAAAATTATTGGTGGTTATATGCTTTAATGACCGAAGTCCTAGTCCATTATTTTCATATGTACTGTGAAACTTCTCATCATATATACTTTGTTTTTCTAAGGTGCTTCCGATAAGATGACCACATTTTTTGACAAAAGAAATTTTAACTTGAAAACAACCAAATCACATCAGGGAGAAACCGAAATTTCACGTAAGATCGACGACATTGTTCCCTATATTGCTGCTAGCGTTTGACCCGTACGTGCCTGCCACATGTATATAGATAATTATTTCGATAGCAAATCCTTGCATCTCCACCTAATCCCTCTACACAGACCCCAACTCCTGCTAATAATCTGATTTTAATATTAGATTTTGCTCAAGTCGTGACAACAGAAATAATGAAATACAGGCCAAGCTTGGACACGTCTACCTAGTTATGTTTAATAAAGATAATCTTGCTGATAATAGAGTAAACTTACAGTTGCTTGGCTATGACTAATGAAAAGCCAACAGGCCGAAAAATTAGTCGTTGTGATTTGAATACTTTTCGGGCCAAAAAGCTATGGGAAAAATCACAAAAAAGACACTAAAAAATTGCAAATAGGAACCCGTTACAATATTAATATTGGTTTTGATAATAATTGATAAGCGAATGATAAAATTTTTATGAATGGTTCCTTGTATGCAATTTTTCAATTTTCAGGGACTTTTTTGTGATTTTTTCAAAAGTTATTTTATTCATATAAAATTTTTTATTACACGCAATGATATTATGAAGGTGGAGTAAAAATAAAGGAGAAGCTATGAGGACAAAGGGATGGGATAGGGAAAAATATAATTGTAAAAGGCCTTTTCAATTTTTCCATTTCCATTTTCATTTGATTAAATATAAAAATTAAACTTGAGAAAAATTACGTTAAAAATACCTTGGACATATACAAAAATTAGAACGGTGACTCCACTTTCAACAGAAATAATAAAATGCACAAGTGTATTTAAATAGAATTGTGAGATATTGTGCTTTTTAATGACATTGCTCTTTTCAAAAGTAAGGCTGCCGATGCTCTAGCGGCCGAGATTTTTTCTGGAAAAGTTGGTCAAAGTGGAATTTGATCCGCCGCTGAATTCTTAAAGAAAAAAGTTATAACTATTGGCCATCAAATCAAACTATTTTACTAAAATGGTGTAAAATAATATATAAACTATCAAATAAAACGGCATATTTCAGGAGATTTACTGCACCGTTTACTGCGCTTGAAATAAGTTTCACCATTTCATATTAGCGGTTTGCAAGATTTTGTTACAAATTGGACTCTTGGAAAAATCAAAGACGAAGACGAGCATACTTCAGGAAATTTAAGAAATTTGCTACACTAGAAGCACCTTTCACCGATTTACAATTTTTTTATGAGTTTCACGCTTGGAAAAATCAAAGTAAAAAAGGAAATGTTTCATAGAACTCATCACGGACATGTTTCATAGAAATTACTACACTCAAATGTATTATATTCTTCCTCTAGTAGTGTAAATTCTCTGAAATAGGGCCTTTTTATTTTAATCTTTCCAAGTTCGAAATTCATTAAAAAAAAATGTCGCAAATATGAGTCACCTTTACGGGATTTCTATATTTTGGGGGTATTTTAATGGGATTTTTCCAAATTAATATTACAAGCTCTAAAATTTCAAAAAGACTACAAAAATATGCCAGGGCAAAGTATATATATTAAATAACTGGGCCTGCAGCAATTGACTAACAAGAGCTGAGTATTGACACGGGAATAGACTGGCTAATTAGTCTCTTAAAACGTGATAAACTAATATTCAAATTTTTATTAAGAAAAGTGTTCATATTTAGTGTTTAACCATACTTTAAATATGGTTACTTCTATAGGAGGATATTTGTTTCTATGGAAAAAAACACCAATTGAAAGATCTTTTCACTAAACCATTAGATGCTCTGAGATTTCAACTCTTGAGGTCGAGTCTCGCTATAATACCATTACCGTTGGGGGCCTGTTGAAGCACAAAACCAGCCCAAGCCCAAACTCTCAGACCGTTATTAGCCAGATATCATGTCGTCGATCTATATCCTTTCTTCGGCTGATGAACCATTAACAAGTTGCATACTCGGAACCGTTCGTTGTCTTAGATGGCATTGATTTTGACGTTCATCGAAGGCGGCGGAAACTTGTATTACAGGATGCTCTTGTGAAAGAGCTTTACGCATTGTTACAGGTTTGGTTTTGGAGGGTGGGGGAGATTATATCCTCAACCAGATTTTGAAATAATTATAACTCTGAACGGGTATCGATGATTATAAGCACGCTACTAAAGCTAGCTAGTCACAAAAAATCGCTAGATCATAATTTAGAAGATTGCTTCAAGTTCATGTTGCAATGAATTTTCAAGGTGTAGACATATGGAAACCGTGCAATATCCGAACAATTAATTCTTCTTTGAAAAGCACTGATAACCGCACATGCAGTATAACAAGAAGCAATTGTTAGGATAAAAAAACATTGGCCCGTTCGCATTAATGAGAGGAATCGAATTAATTAAATATCACGGTATCCAGGCATAGTCCTCTAGCCTGCTACTGTTATGTTCCCAGAATCAACTAATGACTGCAAAAATTCAACTTTAGCACGCTTCCCATGTAAATCTTCTATCTCATGCGATGCTCTCTCATAACATAAGGAATAGGATCAATCTACCACGTAACCAAACCACCAAAGGTTCTTTTATCACAGCTAAAGTGGAGAACTAAGACAGGGAAAAAAATTAATGAACTTGATGTTAATAACCCGTACACCCTTTATTGTGAATTGGTTTTTCATGTTCCTCGTCCTAGACAAGAAAAGCATGTCT